ATCGGATGTCATTCACACTGGAGAAGTGTAGTTGGATGGTAACAAGGCGAGGAAAGGTAGGCAGAAGTGAGGGGATCGAACTACCAGAAGGCAACATTGCAGACACTGAGGACAGCCACAAGTACCTGGGAATCCCACAGGCAAATGGGAACCACGAACAGGCTGCTAGGAAAGCTGCAACCACCAAATACCTGCAGAGAGTTAGGAAAGTCCTGTATACCAAGGGCTGACAGAAGAACCCGAGAAGATGGGGAGGATGAAGGTGACAGTGGTCCCCGTGGTAATCGGAGAACTCAGGGTAGTGACCCTCAGGCTGGGCGAGGGGCTTCAGCAGATCCCTGGAATAACATGTGAGATCTTTGTCCAGAAGAGCGCAGTCCTGGGAACAGGTAAGATACTGCAGGACCCCCAAACTCCCAGGCCTCTGGTAGAGGACCGAGCTTGAAGAGGGCAAGAGGGGAAATATATATATTTCCTAATAGGCCTTTGGCTTTTTGCCAAGCCACCATGTAACCACTTTCATGGATAAAGAAACATTACTTTGATTCTGCACCATCTTATCTCATGGTACTATGGCTAAACCTCTGTGTAATATCACAATCTTCAGTTGAACTTCCGTTGGTATCTCTTTAATGTTACACTGGGGAAAACAGAGCAGGGGTGAAAGTCCAGCACAGCTTTAGCTTTTCTCTCAGCTTGCTGCCCTTTTTAATTACAAATGCCGTCGTCACATGTGAAAGCCACAGTTTAAACTGAGAATAGATATTTAGGGCTACTTAATAATTAAACAATCTCGTATCGTAAATGGACTGATTCTTATAAAGCGCGTTTCTGCTCTCCCGGAGTGCTCAAAGCGCTGTATACAACATGCCTCATTCACCCAATCACACAAAGTGACGCAAAGCAACTCTTTCCTCATGTACATCCTTTAATCTCACACTCAAATGTCTGCGGTGCACAAACAAATAATTGGCCTCGCTATTTCAAATAGTGTTTTGTTCCATCAATATTATTATTATTATTATTAAGTGGGGTTATTACTGAAATGCATTTGTGGCTCTTGCGACTCAGTTATCACCTACAGTAACTGCTTTTCTCCTGAGCTCTAAATAGCATTTTTGTTCCTCTCAGCTTGCCGCTTTAGTGTTCCAGCCAGGAAACTTCAGTCTCATCAAACCTTTGTTTCTGTTTTCAGAGAAAGATAAACAGCACTCATACATCCACAATATGATGCTGCAGCATTCTGGTACGGCAACTGAAAAGCAATAACAAGAAAAAAAAACCCTGCAAAGCAGTTTGCAGGTCACTCCCACAATTCAGTATTATTACTGTGTTTGTAAAGGATGGCCTTTAAATATCTGTAAAAGTCTAACAGTGATGTCTGTATGTCTGTGCAATAATTTAGGTTGGACTAAAGCCTGAGTGGGAGCAGTGATATAATGAAAACTAGCAGTCTGTGCACAGAAATAAATCAAATGTATGAAACTATATGTCAGTGCTGAAAGATTACAACCCCCTTTTTAATAATCAGGCGCACCAACCATCACAGTGTGCTCTAACACACTGGTTATCTAGTGCAGAAACGTGTATGGTAATGCGTTATTAGGTGAAATCTTCTGGTAGTGCAGGTTTCTTTGCAGTTAAGTCAAGAACTGGCTGTAGCAATATATTCTACCCAGTCTGGGCAGAAAAAGAGTGTTCGCAGTCTCTTTCACAGCACTGGACAAAGTGGAAATGAAATGCAACAACACATCACCAACTTGTGCTGAGTGAGGAGAGAAGAAAACACTCAGTGTTTGCCACTTTAATGCTGTTGCACATTCGTTTCTTTCTCATCTTCCACCTTCCATGTTTTACTCACTGCTGGTGTCTTTCTCTCTTCCAGGCTTCAAGTGCCCTGTGTGCTCCAAGTTTTTGGCCTCAGATGAGATGGATCTTCACCTTGTGTTGTGTTTAACTAAACCCAGAGTGACATACAATGGTAGGACTTCCTTTATTGCCTTTACAACTTATGCTAGCATTTGAAAGTATGCTGTAGCTGAATGCAAAATTCCCCTAGATAAGAACAAGCAGTTATGAAGGGTCTAAGTCAGGGGTGTCCAACTCCAGGCCGGTGTCCTGCAGGTTTTCAATCTCACCCTGGGTCAGCACTCCTGAGTCAAAAGATTAGTTCATTACCA